TAATAAATAATTCATTTCTACAAAGACTTCTTTTTTTTATTTGATTAGTATAAATCGGATATGTTGTGCAAAACAAAAAAATACAAAATTATTAATAAAAACTTATAAATTACATTCATTTTATATTCATCTAAAAAATAAATGAAAACAAGAAAAAAGTCAACATTTTATAGGTACATGTATTGAACTTATTTATAGTTAATAAATGAAATTTTATCTTGCTATCTATTTGTCTAATATAACATAACTAATACAAACAAGAAAAATTTTTATATCAAATAACACACAGACGTTCGTATTTATATACATTATTTTAATATTACAAAAAACTATATATATATATATTTTACATTCTCATATACCAATGATGCGTAAAGAATAAGCGAAAATATGGTTTCAAAAACAATCTCGTGCTTATCATTCAGATCATTTTCCGATTAACTAGATTATTTCCTTTTCTAAATGAAAGGATTTTATGAATAAATTGTGCGCTTGTGGGTGTATGGGTATGTCATTAGAGAGACACGAACGATATGTATAGAATAATAATACAGTGAATTTAAAAAAAAACAATCGCATTGTCTAATCCTAATTTACTTCTCAAGCAGTTAATTATAGTTAGGAATATATACAATAAAAATTAATCAGACATATCAAAGGTGTTGAATCAGTATTACTGATGTTAATAATTATCTTCATTACTAACAATAACAGAAATAAAACAATAAAGTCTAATACAAATATACTACAGGGCACAATTCAACTCAGTCCTATTGAAAAACTCTAATCAATACATTTGTTCTTGCTTTCCTTTATTGAATGACTTCGACAAAATTTTATTGTTGTTCATCACATTCCAAGAAAAAGAAAAATTTTGTTTCCTTCACGTCACACAATATAGCTAAGGTTATTTACTATAGAATAATTTGAACTAATATTCATTTAACAACAATAGAAAACCATAAGTGAAGGCCATAGTTAGATTAAATACTTTTAAACAAAAGATGAATACTTTATAAGAGGTATATATTTAACAATAGATAACCATGCCTATCCATCGAAACAAAATCTATGCATGATTTTACAGCAATAAATAAATAAAGATAAATAATTGTTGTACTTATGACCTGAAAAGAATAGAGAAATACATCGGTACATCGCGAGCATAAGTACAAAAATTATATCCACTCAGCAAAGAAAGCAAAAAAAAAAATAGCGATAAGATGATGTGATCGTAACAGAAAAAAATATAAATATGATTATGATTCAACTATGTCGAGATAAAAGCTCCGGAGAGAAATTATACAAAATAAACCATAGACCTAACTTGATCCTTCATTAGTTTTATTATGTAAATTTGATCTTCGAACAATAATTTTAGAAATTTCTTTGAATTTAATTGAGTTGCTTAGTTCTAAATTTCATCAATAAAATTCCGTATATCAAGACAGAACGAAATTTATTTAATGAATATCTATACAAGTGCTTCTCTTGAAATAACATAAAAAAGGATTCTTTAACTTTTGTATATACATCTTCAGCGAAGATTTTTTTTTTTCACAGACGCCATAATAGGTTATTGGTTTTCTTTTTTACATATTAGTCATGTATATGGATGTTTATAATGTTTGATTTTAACATGTTGTAGTCTTTCCGTATTGTTGATATATACACTTAAAGAGTATCATCTTAATTCACTATGAAATAATAAAGATTAGTTTTTTTTTGCATCCTTATCTAAACAATATTAAATGTCATTCGATGAAGAAGTTCTTTACATGTTCGAAGAGGAAGAAAAATATGCAATGCCTTTTCTCGAAATTCTTTTGTTTGCTAGTTAAAGAATCTTTAACAATAAGACTTTGATGCTCTTTTCGTTCTTATTAATCACGAAACATTATTTTGATATTTTTTTTCTTATTTTCTCATTATTATTCATATTGTTTACCTAAGAGACGTATATTATGGAAATAGCTATAGCAGCAAAGAACAGCTAGTGTTATTATCGATGTGAAAGAAAAACAAAAGAAAAATGCAAACGCATCATTGGTACATACTAGCATAGAATTATTTCAATCGTTGTATATTCGATAGGATTCATATTACATTGTTTAATCTTGATCTTTGTACCAATTTCATAACTGATATTTAAAAGAAAAAAAAAATTTCATGATTATTATGAGAATACTTGGACGATTTAGTGTTTTTGTTGTTTAAGACATTCTTCAAGTTGATTCTGTCTACGTTTTTTTTTTGTTTGTGAGAATAGTACAAGATGGGAACAATGGATGAAGCAATGACCCAAAGTCAAAGATGTTTTTTTGCAGAAACGTCATTTGCTTGTGACGTGCTAAGAGACAATGCACACGCTCCTGTGATTACAATTCCGGCCCTATTATTATTGGTTCGATGAGTAATAAATTTAGATCACATTGATCAATCCATCATGTACATTGAAATCTAGAAAAAAAATGCTATTGACAATTGATTTTTATCAATAACATATGATAGATTTTATAGCGTATTTTTGGCAATAGGTTGTTGACAATGCTATCAAATAGAAAAATACCAATAAATTTAAATGAAAATATCATAATTACATGCCGACTAGATAGTATACACATAATAGTTTTCTCTATATGACGTTCAATAGAACTTCATGTTACTATGAAAGTTAACATCAGTATTACAACGAGCTTCTTCATACATGATCTTCATCGTCTCATCACGAAGATTTACTCAGAAAAATACCCTAGTCACTACCATTTTCAATTTTTGATTGTGTAGCATGTGTAATGATTGTCCTAATTAGACACTAAATCGTTACAATAAACAATAGGTGGAGGAGTTTCATTCGATAATTTCTTGTCTACAAGCTTCACCAGAGCAGTCTCTTCTATATTTCTCGAAAACAATCAAAAAGATACTTCCATTGTGTGTGTACTCATTCCAACAAATATTGATTTCCACTAGCTTTCGCAACGTCAGTTTTTATCAGATATAAGTAGAAATATTTTTCTGTAAGTATTCGTTATTTTATATTGGTCAGATAAAAACCATTCGCCGATGATAAGTAAAATTAAAACTAATTCATGGTAATGACTTATAAATTTACAATAATTTCAGCGAATGTATGTTAGACAAAACTATTACATATACGAAAGAGTCGTATCGACCTAAGTAACTTGGTTATAAAATTTAGTCTATATGATAACGCACACTAAGTCTTTAAAGTACTATGTGATTAGGCATTTAGTAATCATGAAAAAGCAATTATTTATAACCAGCTTGAATGGATTAAATTGGATCTAGAAGAATATTTGAAAACAATTAAATTTGATAGAAAATCGCTCGATATTAATTAGATAGTTCTATCTTCAATTGATCTGGATTTAGCTTCTACTTAGAGTACAATCGGTTCAGTGTATTACAAAATAAACAAACATCCATCAACACTTTCACCTTATGAAAAAAACACTTCAACTCAGTCAAAAAGCTCTTTTACTCAATCAGTTTTCTTTGTCTATTTCGTATAACAACAACAACAACAACAGTTTCATTCATTACAGTACAGATCAATACTCGAAAGCACTTTCTCTTCAACAGCATGCTGTTGATATGGAATCACGTTCATTTCTTGCAAACTACTCTAATCTTTAACTATTAAAAAAATACTTTCGATCAGTTAAAAAAGTCATTGTAAATAATTTTCTTTTATTTAAAAATCAAATCACAATATAGAGTAAGAAGTATTTATTTGTCAAACGAACATACACATCTACAAAATAAAATTCTGCTTTGCTGACGACATTAATAAATAATATATTTCAGTCAGATCATTCATACACATATACAGTCGTATACTTGGTAGATTTTCTCACCGAGGAAACTTTTCAAGTGTCGAATAATTTTTTCGAACAAGACAGCGTTCATGTGATGATTACTAGTGAATAATTGAAACGTCTAAAATGGTTTGGTTTTTTGGATCTTTCTCATTGAGGTATCGAAATTTTACTGGATTTTTCTATAGAAAAGCTGGTCTTTCTTAGGTTACATGAAAAACTGACTTTCGAATTCAAAATTTACACGAATCAAGTTCTCAATAAGATTAGTTCATTGGACAAGTTTTAGCTTTTCTAGTATCTCCTCTAACCTAAGGTATTCAATATTCAAAATTCTCTCATGTGCAAAAGGGATTTTTTTTCATGTATTTACATCCCCAAAAAGGAAATAATAGAAAAAATAAAATTTATACAATCAACTAATCTCATTAAGAGCTTTGTTTGTATAAAGTTTGAAATCAAAACTCGAAAATTTATTTTCCACATGATCTGAAGGGAATCACAGCTTTTTCTTGAAAAACAAAAACAGTAAAATTTCGACATTTCAAGAATGAATACCTGGAAAACCAAACGATTCAAGACTTTTCTATTACTCTCTAACACTCATGAAATGAACACCGCCTCAATTGATAATCGATTTGACACCTGGATAGTTTCGCTCGTCAGTATTTCTGCTGTATAGTGTCGCCAACGATAAGCTTAATATCGCTAAAGCGAAACTATCAAACTATGATCCAAAAATCTGATTGATAGACTTGTCTAACTAAGAAAATATTCATTTCCGACATAATCTTGTTCAATTATCTGCAATATATATAACCATTCATTTTCTCATGTATTATTTGAGATCAGAATACTACAATTCAATAGAGTAAACAAGCAAATAGCAAATAAATAAAAATATTAACTAGAAAAAGGACGTCAATTTTTTTTTGATTTATTAGAAAATAAATGTAGTATGTCAATTTTTGGACAAAAGAAAAGTAAACTTTAAAACTTCTATTTACAATATTGTAATATAAAGAAAATAAGTTCAACGCGCTACAAATTATAAATTCAATATAATACTTTTCCTCTGATCATATGCATAAAAATTCTTCTTAATCCAATATTAACTTTGTTATGTTTTATGTTTTTATTATTCTGGTTTATTTTTCTATGCAAATTCAATTAAGTGACCAATACTCATCGTCAGAAATCTATGAAGCAGGTGATGAAATTCTTAAATTACAATATAATTTAAATAGAATAGAAGAATTATATCATAATTTATATTCAACATTGAATGATCAACAAATAAATGTTGAAGAAATTCAAACATCTATAAATCAAACACAAACAAATCTAGAAAAAGGTGGTTTAGATTTACATCAAATATTACAATCAAAAAGACGAAAAGATAAACATCGATGTTTTATCATCATATTTATATGTACAACAGCTTGCTTCTTTCTTCTTATGGTTATAACTGCTCTTATTAATGTTATTAAAACATTTGGATTTAAACGAATAACAAAATCAATTAGTGATGAATAAATAGAAAATAAAAGGAATTTTATTTATATACTTTGAATCATCAATATGTAGAGTTAAAAAACAACCTGTTATTTTACATTTATAGCTCTACAAAACTGTTTTATGCATTTTTTAAATAAATCATTCTTGTTGGAACAAAATTTTAAATATTAGCAATTACTCAATCATGCAATTGCGACAGTCAAAAAAGAAAACAAACGAAACAATGGTGCAAATTTTTTTAACAATGGTTTGCCGGAATGTTAACTATACTAGAAAATTCTGCTTTTTTTGATAGACATATTTCAGAATTTTAGAAGAAACCTTTGCGAGAATGATCATTGAACACAAATTGCAAAAATCAATGGGAAAAAAAGAATTGTCTGACAGAATTACGTGATTGTTCTTTTAATTTGGTACGACTTAATCCTTTGTGCTCTTCAACTTAGAAGTCACATCATTTTGTTCTTAATTAAATTCTACATGCGACAGCACGAGATTTACTGTTTTACATACTAAGTATTAATTTGGAAAACGTGGATTTGTTGTAACATGAGTAGAAACATATCAGTAGATTTTAGTTCTAAGCTTTTTTCTCTTGAACGATATCGTTACAGATCTTTAAAAAGTCATAGAGATGGAAGACATTAAATTCTCTATTCAAAATCGAATATCACAGTTAGACAATTGAGCAAATATTCATACTTTAAATTTTGCTCCAACAAGAAAAACACTTTTGAAAAACAAACGAAAAAATTTCCTAGAACGAAAAATGCTCCATCAAATGACTTTTTGAATATGTATCGGCATGACCCAAAAAAAGGAAATGAATTTGTCTCAATTATTCTGTGACGTCCGTTATTATTATTAAAATTAGCACGTCATTTACTTGAATAAAAATTGAATAAATCAATAACACAAGTAACTATCGATCTGTGGTTGTCAGCAATTGAAAGAAAATGCACGGGAACGATTTTGAACTCAATGGTTTCTGTAAAGCATTCAAAAACAATTGCATGAACATAGTCCGTCATTCACATGAAATTTTGATAACATGCAAGAAGATTTGTTTAAAAACCAGCAAAATTCTATTTTATTCGATCGAACACATGCAGAATTTTATTTGTTCAATATCAAAATGTGAGAAAAATAATTACTCACATTGTATCTTGAATCATAAATCTCAACTTCTCTATCTAAGAGCCATGTGAAAATCAAAATTTCATAGGAGTTACACATTATTTTCATGCATCTTTTTGAATGTTTTGCGAAAATCATTGGTCTCAAAATGATTTTGTCCTGTATATTATTAGAGAAAAGATGTTCTCATGTGTTCTTCTTAGTTTTTCGAAAACTACAGATTGCTAACTGCTTGCATTCTCGACTTATTCAATTTTTAATATAGTATTGTTAAGTTTTTCACCAACATTAGAAATAGTTTCATTGTACATAGCCTAGATTTTAGTTTTTCGAGTTATGTGTTCTTACACTGGGAGAAACTCTTAATTCTATTGTCATCAGATTTTGGAATATAGACATTCGTCTTTTGCATAGCTATTTTAAAATGTCGAAACCGATAAGAAAAATCATACCATAACTTTGTTCAAACCTACTTATTGTAAGTAGTTTTCATATTTTCAAACGAGTAATCCATAAGGTCCTCTAAATGACTTTACTGTTCAAGTCAATAAAACAATCAATAATTGTTATTCATTCTCAAAAGGAAAATCACTCATTTAATAATAGAATTTCATCTTATGAGACATAATTATCAATAATCTAACAGATTGTCGTTGTAGAAAACTATTTTGCCCACATTTTAATCGATTGTAGAATCAACACAAATGATTGAATAGCGTATTTTTAGTTATTTTATTTTTTTAACATATATTTTATCCTTTTTATTGATCTATTACTACAGTATTATTATGGATTCATTTTTTTATCTCATGTTACCGTCAGATGCTACTATTTGTCAAAGACTTTAGTTGAAATATTAGAGTATTCTCTTTTAATTGACTTATTAAAAATAATTTTAAGTAGGAAAGGTGGCTTTTTAAACTACACAAACAAATTTCTTCAAGTAACAAATTATAATTGTACAAGTCAAAAATCTTCTTGCATATTCATTGTATTAATAAAGGTTTGTTGTTTTTTTCTTTTACTTCATCAACCAAACGTCTGATTATTCTCTTTTGTTAGGCAGCTCAAAGGTCTATTTTCATTTCGTTGTTCACGTTTGATAAACTCTCATCCTGTTACATCTCTATAAAATTTGCTATTTATTATTAAATCAAAGATCTATCGGATCAGCAATGAATAACTGTATTTTCCAAACGATGACTATGTATATATGAATAAACTAGGGAAAAATCAAATATAATAGGAAAAACACATGAAGTAGAGATGATGTATCTGAACTACATCTAGAAAAGAAGCTTTTGAAAAAAAAAACTAAATAAAAGAAACATATTTATGTTGCACTTGCCATGTGTACGGTAATCTAATACAACAAAGAAAGAAAAACAACACTAGACGTAAGTAAATTAAATTCAAACACAATTGCTCGTAACTTTGAAGCAAACATCATCTACTGAAATGTACATTACATATCCTCATACATTCTAAAAAAATTTTTCTTGGCAACTCGCCAAAATAGATTTCCGATTTTGTCACTATATGAAATCCTTTAAAGGTTTCCGAAGTTCGGATATCCATTTTTTCTTCCAAAAAACTTTTAAAGATTTTCGAGATCAGTCCGAAAACGTATTTAGGGTGTTCGGAAACATATTTGGGTTTCCGAATAGTTGGAAATCTATTTTGGTGATTTTCCAAGGAAACCCTTTTTTAAATATGTAGTCATCTTTCATAGTATCTTTATTTTATCTCAATTACATGTACATTATTAACAATATTTTTTAAAATTATTCAATTTTATACTTTATAAATTGAATCAATTAGCTTAATGATCATAGATTAGACTTGTATATAAATAATCAAACTTAGTAAAACTCTTGATTACCAAGAAACATAAAACAAATTGGATGTTTAAAAAATCTGCTACACTGAATTTGAAAATTATTTACTGAATGGAAAAAAATTTTATTTTGTGAAAAGAATCATATCCTTTTGATTAAATATTAGTTATTAAAATTGATATCAATCAACATATTTCCAAGTATGAGAATTTTTTAAAAGTATTTATGAAATATTAAGAAGAAAAAAATTATATTAGAATTCGTACAAAATCAATAGATGAAATTTAGTCTATTTTGTTTTTCTCTTTATTTTGTGTGTTGAATTTGGTTCATTAATCATTGATAATTTATAAAGAGATTCTGGAGATAAAACTGTTGATTTCATAAGAAATTGTCTAACTGCTTTATTGCTTGTTAATTTATATGATTCACATAATTTTTGATAACGCATTAATTGTTCAACACCTTCTCGAATAATTTCATTTTGATTTTGTATTATTTTATGAATTTCCATAGGATTATCTTTAATCGATTTTGTTTGACTATCCGAAGAAACAATAGATGGATTTTCCGGTTTATTTTCATTTCGATTTTTTATTGAGAAAAATATCGGCTAAATTAGAAAATTTTTTTCTATAATATATTTTCTTCGGGAAAATGAATAGTAAGAGTCCATATTTTAAATATATCGTCACTAGAACAACATATTTAAACAAGACATAATTACATATACTGAAGACCCTCGGAGTTTTCTAGCATTCTGTACATTTATGTTTTAGTTTTTACTTGTAGTCAATTACTTTCTAATATTTCTTAACAATATAGAAGCACTATTCCAAAAAAAAATAATTATATATTCTAATAGAGCTGGAAATTCTCTATCATTTTGTGTATTTCCAGGTATTTTGCATTTATTCGTTGCAACAAATAAATGTAAGATAATAAATCATAGAAAAATTCAAACTCTATCAAAACACATAATTAATTTTATTTCCAAACTTCTTATATAGTGATGAAAAATTTTAAAAACTAATTTGACGGTAGCGATAAAATGAAGGCTGTGACAATTGCACTATGAGAGTGCTTCATTACGCTTGATGTATTTTGACCGTGCGTAAGTGCAAGCCAAAACATAAATACACAAGGTAATAGAAAACTGCAGGAGTGTTCATAATATGTAATTATTATTTTTTTTAATATATTGTTAAAATACGCACTATGCATTTCTATGAGTGCATATGAGTACAGTTTAGTACCTCTATTTTTTGTTCATTTGAAGTTAATATTTCTTTTGTATCGAATATTAATGGAGAAGAAATATTAGTTGTTAAGTCATCATCTAAAGCATTATTATTAATATGAATATTTTTTGTTTGTTGAAGAATTGATTTAAATTCATTGACTATATTTCTTTGATGACATTGTATTGAATCATCAACATGATAGATAGATGAAAGTGATATTTTAGATTTTGATAATGTTGAAATTAAATTTTTATTTTTAACACGCAAACGAATTAAATCTTTTGGATAAGAAAAATATTGTTTATTATCATTTACTATTTTCTCGATTGAAGATGGTAAAGTATTAGATTTATATAGTGCATTTTTTGTTATACATGGAACAATTTTTGTTGAACGATTACCATTAGACTATAAAAATATCAGAGATATTGTAAAAGTAATCGATGTTTGAAAAGTATACAGACTTCTATGGAAAGATCTTGTTGTTCGAGAGATAACATTTCTTTCTGCTGTTGATTGTTTTCATTATTAGGAAACCTAACGGATGTTTGCTTGAGATCATCATCATCATGTACTGATAAACAAGTATTATTAGGACATTCCATATTACAAACAGGTGATTTTATACCTATGTACGATAGACATTAACTATAGAATATAATAAATCCAAGATTTTAAACTTGATATTTGTTATTAAACTTACTTTCTTCAACAAGCATTTTTGAATGATTATCATTAGATGATACCGGTGGAATTGCAATATCGATAGATGGACTTGATAAAATTCTCATTTGATATGATTTATTTGATGTACGCATATGTTTTCGTTTTTTCCGATGACGATATTTATGTTCATTACGCCAATTAGTATGATTTTCTTTTCTATACGAATGTTTCCTTTGATTGGTTTTATGCAAATTTTTCTTTGATCGTTGCAAACAATTTTTTTCAGAATCAACCATAGATAAATTCGAATTGTTAACTTTTGAAATATAGAATTATAATAAACGATATTCAAAAACAACTGCTTGCACAATCACTGCGGGAGTCAACTGTAAAACACAATGTAGTTGCTGTTGCCAATCACAAAAAGATTGTTTTTTTAAACTATATTAAGACACATTCTTTCACTATTCTTTTACTCAATCACACAGACACACAATAAGGATGCAATAACAAGATGTTATTCACCAGCGGTCTGTGACGTGAAGAGAGAGAAGAAGTAGGAAGAGCGCTGCTAAGACATCTATCACGGTCTTTGAAATTCCAATGATTGTGTTTGTCACAGTATGTAACATGAAGAAGAAAAAAAAGCTCTCGCAAGTCGACTATGATGGAAAAATAAAAATGGATATCTGTCACGTTTGTAATCAGGCATTTTAACGTGTCTGCTATGTCTTTGATGAACCTCTTCCACGTGTCTGTCACGTTTCTAACGATTCTTTGTTAAGATGTTTGACATGTCTGTGGGGAATCCAGAATTCTATCCTTATACTGCAACATTTCTTTTAAATCCTTTTTCACCAAAAAATTGTTCCTCATATAATACCTTGTCTGTATTGCTTTTTCATTGATATTGATTTGTGTGACATTTTTTTATTTAAATGCTTAAGTGTCGATGATGAATCTTCTTCGAGTTTTGTTTGTAAATAATGTTTTTCCGGTTCAATTGATGAATTATAATTGAAGTTTCTAGCTGCAGATCGTCGACAACGAGAAGTTGGTGGTCGAATAATTTTATTTCCTTCATTTCGATCAATATGAATAACTTTTGGAGTTTCAATATTATTTGATGATATACAAATTTGATCACGTTTAAACGATGATAATCGAAGATAAGAAAATAAATTCAAGAACGTACTAAAAAATCGTTTTTTTGCTGTCGATAATACTGTTAATGAATTCGGTTGACGATAACATTGCCTGTTAATGTTTATATCGTGCAATAGTTGTTTGTTGTTCTATAAAAATAGTATCATTTAGATGATTGCAATCATCGATAAAAGACGTCACTCAATCTATAAAGAACTTCTTGGATGTACTTGAATGGCTTAGTTTAAATAATTTCAACAGATTTTAGGTACAATTCCTTTTAATGATTTATGCGAGCAAATACTCTTAGAAAAAAGTAATAATAAATACTTAAAGAAGTTTATTTTTAAAAGAAACATAAATATTCTTGCATGAGTTCTTTTTTCTTCAATAGCTACATTATTAAATATTGATTGATGAAATCTTTAAGTTTGTTTTTTTTTTTTTAAATTCATTATCTGTTTTTTTTTATGAGAGGCGTTAGAATTACTATAATATATTTATTACCGATTGTTGTTTGATTAATTTTTCTGTTTGAAATTGTTTCATTTTAACATGACTTAAGTTTTGTTCGTTATCAGTATCAATAGCATTATTATTTTGATTTTTATTACGTTGATTATGATAATGATGATTTTCTTTCGTACTAACAGTAATGCTACTTATTGTTGATGTTTCTATTGAAGTAGTATTTGTATATGTTGAATTTTCATCTGATATTGATGTTTTAGAAATTGAAACTGTCGATGAAGATGATGAATGACTTTTCTTATTAAAAGTTTTTATTTGTCTAAGAATATCACATGATGTTTGTCGATCAATTTGTTTTATTACATTTGTTTGTATACCAATACTATTCATATTTTTATTTTTATAATTTATTCCTAATGAATATTTTTTTCTAAAAAAATTATTATTTAAAATAGATTTCATTTGTTCGGAAGTTAATGATGAATGTTGAAATTTTTCTAATGATTTTTGACCATTTTGACTTAAAGCTGATGTTTCTGATTCAATCCATAAACGTTTAAGCATTGATTGTATATGATTTGTTTGTTTAGAGGATGACGATGATGTTGATTGGCAATGAAAATCTTTCCGTATTGGTTCAATAAATGATGAAGTCTTGTTTTGTTGTTGTTGTATTTTAACTCGAACACCTGAATGAATATTAGATAAAAATCGACGATTCCATGCTTGTTTAATACCTTTAATTATAAGTTGTTCCTTTGTTTGTGAATCATTTCGAATAGAATCATATTTTGAATTATTAAAATTCATTGGTTTTAATATAAAACATTTTTATCATCGTTATATTTTTTTTTTAACATAAGACACAAAAAATTATATTATTATTTTGCTTTTTTTATTCAGTCTTAACAACAACAAATTATTTTGTTTTGATAGTGGTAACTAATGTGTCATATAATTAATAAATAATAATCAAAATTATTGCAAATTAGTTGCAATCTCAGTGATACATTAAAAGGTTGAAGAGTTGATATGTAAATGTGAATATTAGCTAAAATATTCATTGACAATTCAGCTGAATTTTTTTTCCAAAAGCAAAATACAAAATTTTATTTTAGGTATTAAAACTTTTTTTTAACGAACAGATCAACGGTACGACATATTTATTTCGATTGTTTTAGTGTTTTTTCTTAATAAAAATCTTTCAAAAAAACAGACATAGAACAGAAAAGAACGAAAAAAATACTACTCTATTTACTAGTATGCAGATGGTGCTAAACTAGTCACTAGGAACTGAGTAAGACTGATTGCATTAATGGAGCAAAACGATCATTATTAACAGTCTGTTTAGATACTGCTTCTTTTGTTTTTCGTCCTAATATTTGTGCTTTCATACAAGCAAATATAAGACGTGAAAAAATGGATGCTGTCAAGTCACTATTAAAACGTACATCAAGATATTTCCAGAGAAGATCAATAAAAACATTTTGTGCATGAAATATTTCACATGGATCCAGCCAATAAGGTTCATTTATATCGGATCCTTTTGAAAAAATCATAATTAACATAACTATTTTCATAATTAAATGATCATTTGAACATATATCTTGAACTTCTTCAATAAACATCATTGATTGTTGATAAACTTCATCGGAATAAAGACGTAATTCACTAGCATGATAACAAAAATCATTCGAAGTATTTGGTTCATGATATATTTGTGTATGTATATCAACACACATACATAAATGAAAAAATAATGCAGCTAATAAATTATGTTTAACTAGTACAAGTCGATCATCTTCATGTAAACACTAACAAAACAAAAAGATTTTTACTTCGCATTTTTTTAACAATAAATATAAACAAAAACTTACATTAAATTCAGGTGTTAATTTTAAAAAAGTAATCGTTCGTAGTGTACTGATTTGTGCTAGTTCATTGACAATATTAGTTATATGGTTGAGATTTCTTAAACATGGTAAATCACAGCCTTCTGCAACAGATATATTTAATTGAACAGCACGTGTATAGTTTTCATCAATTTTTGTTAATAATCTTCTATCATGATCATTTAATAAGGTTTTATAATCAAATTTATTTTGATTTATATTATTATTATTATTATTATTATTATTATTACTATGATTAAATATTTCTGCAAATGGTTTGATGTCCTTTTTGTCATTAGGATCATCAAAAAGGTATATAGTATTTTTATTATCATTATAATCCTCATCTTCATCATCATTACTGAAATGTTTTTGATAGTCAACTGAAAAACTGAAATGTTCAGTTTCAGGAACAATTGATGGTGAATTTGATGGTGTTATTGAAAACATCGTTAAATTTTGTGACATAGCACGTAACCGACGATTATCTTCAATTTTTTGTTTTTTGGTACGTTTTTCTTCTTCAGACATAATCCATTCTTTACGTAAACCTTTGTCAAAACATTTTTTAAGTCGACATGCTTTACATCTCTAAAATAAAGAAATATAATTAAAAAAAAATAATAATAAATTTATTTACATACTTTTCGTGTTTCTAAAGTAATAACGCAATCATCAGTACCAGAGCGGCATTTTAATTTGCCCTGAATTAATTAAAAAATTTTTAGAAAAAAAAAGGAAAATAAAAAAATTTTTAAAAATTTATTAAGAAGCTTACTGCATTAGTTAATGCATTTCGACGGAAAAATGCTTTACAGCTTTCACATGTTATTTGATCAAAATTATAACCTAAGATCATAAGAGAAAAAAAAAGCGTTAGATTAAGAAAAGAAAAATAAATATTAACAACAAGATATAATGTCACATGCCATTTTTACTTACCCATTGCTGGTGCATGACAAACAACACAAATAAGATCATGACGATCACGTTTACGAGGATTTACACTTGAAACTGATCGTTTACGATGTTGTTGTTGTCGCATTGCTGCTGTATTAGTTGTAGGTACTCTATGATCCGTTTGCATCGTAAATCATAAAATATTCCAATTTAAAGAAGATATGTTTGTATTGAATAATCAACTAAAATTTCAAGAAGAAAATTATTTTATATGATGATTAATTCGTAAGTGCTTACATATGTGCGCATACTCACATCAGCTCAATAAGAGTCTAACGCAGTTTGTCTTCAGTGTTTTGCGAAAGGAAAGAAAGAACGGAATAAGCACACGAGGGGCTGTGCGGGGTGATCGATGAGAGAAAAAGAAAAGTATAGAAGGAGAGAATAAGAGAAAGAGAGAAGGAGAAAATAGAGACACAAGTAAGCTGAGTTACATGCACGTGTCAAGAACACGAGTCAATGCTTATACAGTATTCAAGTCAACTCAAAAGAAATTTTATTAAAGAAAAAAACAACATAGGTTGCTTACAGGTACTTTCTATACACAGTACCGTAAAACAGTGTAAAATTGTCCTTTTGCCCTTGACGTTTTTGCAAATTTTATTCATTATCATTGTTACGTTGTCATTTCAAATTCACCACCAGTATTTGGACTCATACATGCTATTTCAGTATTTATTGCAATAAATGTTGAAAGAGCACATATAAATCAATATATTGGCGATGAATTTGAAATGAAAAAAATAATATTTGTAAAGAATAAAATTCGAAAGAAGTCAAAGGCGGAGAGTGGTTTTGTTTTTTTTCATAGCATTGTATATACAGATCTACGTTAACACAAAAATCTATAAATAATATTGATAGAAAGATAAATATCAAAAGACATTAGCAAACACATTTTATTCTTAGATTTAACAATACACAAGAGATTAAATGTCTATATAGGTCAGGTTTTTATATATAAATAAGCAAAATTATTAAATAGTTCTTGTGGCAGTATGAAAAAGCTAGAATAATAGTATAATCTATTTTTTCTTTTCTTTTTTCTCATGTGAAAGAAAACACAAGCTCAGAAAGGAAAAAAGTACTGTGAATCTCGAACTCTCAGCGGGAAATATAAATTAATAAAAAATACTAGTACTATTATCAATGACATTTTCTTTTTTCTTTTCAGTTGATAGGACTCTATATATATAATAAAATTCTAATCTGATCTAATCAAATTTTTTTTAAATCGGAAGCAAAGATAATCATCAGAAATATCAAATCGATAAATATTTTCTTAAAAAAAATATTTTTTTTTCAATAGAATGGCGAGTCGATGAGTTAGAAGACTCAATGAAACAACTACATCTGCATTTTTTCATCTAAAAATAACATTTAATTTAAAGAAAAAGAATTCTGTAAGAGATAATTTCTTGACATTATCACCCATCTGGTTAATATCATCGATAATTAGCCTATTATTATGTATTAAATAAGAATGGGATTCAAAAATATATCTTTTAAATTTATTAGTTTTAGAAAAAGCATGTTCTAGGAATAAAAAAACAGTTGATATTCATTTTTGAGAAAATTTAATGTTCACAGATATTTATTTAACGAATATTGGTTGAATTAATATAAATATATCACCGAAAAAGTATGAGATTCATTCTTTCTTATAAAAAACAGAAAGAAAACAACAACAATAAAAAAAACATATAAATAAAAACACACATATAGATATATACAAACATCTGATGAGTGTCTGTTTTTCTAAATAATTAACATAACGGATTTCATCAGTGGCGAAATTTGGTCAGTAATAGAATCAGCTTTAACGTAGTCATGCCGTATCTTATATGCTTGTAAATGTGCATCCATTGATAAGACTGTAAGTTTTAACCAAATTTTTGTTGTCGTAAAAGATCCAAATTTATTTTCACAATATTTCCATAATAATCCAATAAATACATTTTGTGTTTTATATATTGTTAAAATATCTTGTGCTATTGGTTCTACTTCATCTGCAAATGCACATATTGATGAACCTTTGGAAAACAGCATAATAATTAATAATACTTCTAATAAAAATCGATCATTTAATGAAGCATTTACTAAATTTCGTACACAATGTGTTGATTGTTCATATTGATGTAAACTAAAACATTGAATTAAATCACGACCTGAAAAAACACAATCATCTGTATTAGGTTCATGATAATTATCGGTTAATGGATCATAATTTAATGCTGAACGAATAAATACTAATGGAAATGTATTGTATTTAATTAATATTAATTTATCATATTCATTTAAAGATGAAAATTCAGGCAAAAGTTTAAAATAGGTTATAAGACGGGTTGCTAGAATGTTTGTTGGAAAATTAATCATATCTGATATTTGTGTTATTCGTACTGATTGTGGATATGATGGAATATCAGGTGGTAATGATATTAAACGAACAGAATCATCATATGCTTGTTGAATTTTCTGAATTCTAATTAAATCTTCCGATGATAATAATGATCTTACTGGTGTTATAAATGATAATGTAATAATATCGTTATCATGATCTTCATAATCATAATCATCATCGTCATCATCATCATCATCATTATCATATGATTCGGCTTTTGTTTTTATAATTTGTGTCTAGATAAAGGAAAAAAATGAAATGAATGAATTAGACATGTTTATTTCATCGAACTTCATCTGTTTCTGGCGAATCTGGATAAAGCATTTGACGAAGTCGACGGTTTTCTTCAATTTTTTTTCGTTTATTTAAACGTTCTTCGTCAGTTAATATCCAATCAGCTCTCATACCTGAATAGAAAGTATATAGAAAAATTTAAAATGATAAAAACAAAAGCAAGATAAACAAAAGACCTTGTTCCAAACATTTTGCCAATCGACAAGCTTTACATCGCTTTCTTGTTGAAACTGTAATTACACATCGACCATTATTCAGTCGACATTTCAATTCTCCCTAAAAACAAAAATACATAAATAAATATTGAAAAATATTTTTCTGTTTAGAAATATTTTTTTGTATTTTTTCATACGTTAGATTTTAATGCATTTCGTCGGAAAAATGCTTTACATGATTCACATGTGATAGCATCAAAATTGTAACCGTGTGCTGGTCCTGAACAAATACTACAAATTAAACTATCAGGTCTTTTACGAGCATAGGCCATCCGTTGTTGTTGTGGTTCATTATCATTATTAAAGACAGGATATAAATAATTTCTCATGTCACCACCTGCATTTGTATCAAGAACATACGAACGATGTGAGACTCGTTTTCGATGCTGTATACGATCTTCAGCCATGATGTATTTGAGTAACTATGATTTTGAATAATGATTTGTACAAACAACCTTCTGTCTTTAACTCAACGGAGGCGGATAAAAATTACAACAGAATAGAAAAATAGAACGAAAAAAACACTGAGTCAATAGACTCGAATGTCTCAGTCGGCAAAATAGACTACGAAGAAAAAATTCTCAAAAGAAAAAAAAACGAAGGAAGAGAATGGGGTAACAGAGTTGGTATGTAATTTTTCTGGGTACTCTATGAAGGCCAAATTTAACAATGTACTTTTTTTCAATCGTACTATTTGTTTATCAACACGTCAAAAATAAAGAAACATGCGCGCAAACCTAAGTGCGCAAGCTTGTACATAAAATATTTAATATAGGTTTTTCAAAAATCCTTTTATTTTTTAAAATTCCATAATTACAAAAAATATCAAATAATTGTATATAAACTTTTTGAACTGATATTTTTTTCCATGATTTTTTCAAAATTATAGAAGATAGAAATAATAATAACCTACATTGTAACGGGGTAACCAGAAAAAAAAGAGAAAGAAAAACAGAAAAAAAAAGACAACAAAATAAGAAATGAGATCTAGGACAGAACGGATGAATGTTCTTATTAAACTTTAGTATGCGCATAAACGTCATGCCCAAGGTTCGCCTAATGCCGTTTGATAGACAAGGAACAGAAAAGAAAAGAATATATATAAAAACAACAAACCTTTAACAATATCAAGAAAGAGAACGCTTACTAAACGAAGGAAAAATACTAACTAGTCAATCATGTTGTTGTTCTCGAACGTACTTTTCAAACATATCTTTATTAACCATGTACCTAAAATTTCTTCAAAATCTCAATACAAGTATTAGATAATGACAAAAACATTAATTATATATGGAAATAAAGTACTTTTTTAAATATTTCATATATTTGAATACATAGTGCAATTAGTTTTTCAAGAAAATATCAATTATTTTAATTGTCTAAACAACAGATTGCAGATAGAAAAACATGATTTACTGTATTTCAATGTGTCTTGAATGCTTTCATTTTGCTGATTTTTTTTATCTTTCATTTGCTAGATGCCAAAAAAACGTAGCTCTTAATAATAAGTCATTTCATCAACATTTTTCATTCATCTAACACAGAGTTCATATCATAAAAAGAAATTAATAGTAAAAAATCTCTTGTTTTTATCACACAATTCATATTAACGATTGACTCAATTGATCAACCTTATTTTCAAAATAGTGATATCAATAATTATTGATATTCATCAATATACTATATATTCATATATATATATATATATAGGCATTTATTCTTTTTCACTCGTCTATATAGAATACATATATAGGATTCCATTGATTATTTTTCTTCATTGTAATGATGATGAGAAACCAGCCATTTTATAATGTTGACTCACACAAAAAAAGAATTCTTTTCATTATAAATGACGTGTCGACAATCAAAAGGCATAAAGATACTGAAGCATGAGTACATTCACCTTTTACATGATGACACAACATGCTAACGGAAGTGCTTAATGCGAAAACAACCTTTACAAAAGAAAAGAAAGAAAAACAAATATGCTATAAGATTGCACACGATGGATGTGAGATAGCATCTATAGAAAAAAAGTACAATGGGTTTATATGTACTTTTCGTGTTATTTTTATTTAAAGAAAGATAAATTATATATACAAAACAGTTTCGATGGATGAATTTTAGTCTGATAATTGTAAAACACTTTGCATTAATGGCGATAATTGGGATGCATCAATATGATTATGTACAAAACCTTTTAAATGAACAGCTAAGCGTTGAATAGCAAGTATTTGATTAAGACAACGCGAAAATAAAGTAACGGTTTTCGGCAAACCATAATGATGTAAACAATATTTATAAAGTGATTCTAGATAAAGATTTTGTATGTTAAATACAATTAAATGATCTTCTAATGATGGTTCATGGGCTATGTCATAACCACAAAAACCTTTTGTAAATAGAATGAGTAATAAAAATACTTTAACAATAACGCGATCATATTGAAATATTGTAATTAATTTCGTTGTTACATCAGTTAATTGATGATACAATTCTTCACCAAGTATTTCAATCCAATCTTTGCCTTGAAATATGGGATCTTCTGTATTATGTTCATGATAACTATCAGTAATGGGATTATATAACAGAACAGCATGCATAAAGACAACTGCTAATAAATTATTTTTAACAAGTGTAACACGATCTTTTGAATTAAATAAATCAAATTCAGGAATTTTTTTCAAAAAAGTTATAAGACGTATGGATGCTAAATAAGTTGGAATTCGAATAAGTTCAAGTGTAGAATGTATTGGTTGAGTTGCTGGATACAATGGAACACCAATTACTTTATTCAGTGTTGTTGCTTCACGGTATGCAAATTGAACTTGATGAATTCTTGACCAATCTGATTCGGTCATTGGTGGAATATCATCAGCTACTGATGGATGAACTTCATCTAGAGATGAATTATCTTCAACAACTTTCAACTAGAAATAAATCAATTGAAACTTATACAATAAATATTTGTCAATGAATTTGAACGACACTTACATATTTTATATAACGCCGACGGCGTCCTGGAATGCTTACATTTGTTTTTTTTTGACGACGATTTTGCTCGATTTTATTTCTTTTTCTCTGTTTACTAAATATAATTTCATGCATTGATTCAATCTTAAACTTTTACTATCATTGGTATACAGAAAATAATGTACATCTTAACTTATGCGATTTTAAAAATAAATCAGTATTCTGTCGTGAATAGATAGTTTGAAATGAAATAAATAACTAAACTAGTAACTATTCTATCATCTAAATTGAATTGTATTGAAGTGGTATTTTAGGAAAATAAAACTATGCTCATGTTATTTTTGTTGATAAACAAAAGGAAGACTTTAGCTTATGCTCGGAAAAAATTGATAACTATTTTTCAAATATTTATATTCGTATATGAGGTCACCCATAAAAGGTATCCAGATAAAATAGGAAAGTAGGCCAAACATTTCTGGACGTCCAGACATTTACGCTAGAAATATTTTCCTTTTTTTTCACATAGCTTTCGACGAAATTTTCGTTGTTAGTTTGTCTTAAAGAGCATTTTTAAATAGACAATGAACGAAATAAATTAGCTGAATATGAATACTGTGTTGAAATATTTCAAAATTATATTATATTAGCAGATAGTTGTTTTGTGGAGCAATTATCTGAGATTTTCGAGCTATATTGGTATTGGACTTCATTTTTTAATTTTTACTATTTTCTGTTTATTAAAAATACAATGTATTTAAAAAACAAAACTTTGCAATAGATTATATTTCTGTCTGTTGTTTATGAAATGCGTGTTTTGATTTCTATTTTTGATACGTTTATTTAATAAATTGTTATTTAATGAAAACGAGGCAATATATTCGAGTAAGCAGGCGTTTTTTGAAAGCTTTCTTTTTATACTGAACGATAGAACCCATCAGGTTGGTCTCGAACTCACATTCGATTGAGTACAGTTGGAATTTTTTCTGTTAACCGGTTTCGAGTTCGGGTCCAAAAAAATTTGAATCCGACATGTTTTATGGATGGTCTCTATCCTCAAAAAAACTTCATGTATTGAACGTCTATTCTACTAGCAAAAATTAATAATTTATAAAACTTTGTTATGAAATGAAATGCAGAAAAAAAAGAAAAAGAAATCAAATACTCTTGTTCGGAAAGAATCCATTCTTTGCGCATTCCTAAAAACAAAAATATACAATTATACATATGTACGCATGTTACAAAACAATCGAATGAATTAGTAAGTTACCCATCTTAAAGCATTTATCTAATCGACATTTTTTGCATCGTTTTCTTTTTTCAACGATCACTTCACAATGACCATTACCACGACATTTGAGAGCATCCTAGAAAGAATTATTTAAAAAATAATTCTATGGTCAGTACTTTTGAAAATTCTCAATGATGTCTAATACCCGAAGATTTTGCTATATCTTAACAATTATTAATTTTCGAAGAACAAAAAATGCATGCAAAGACACGAAACAATGAGTAATAGTTAATTTATTTTTATTCACTAATATCCTTCCGATACCAAAAAAATTCGTCTATTCCTTGTAAAAAAAAACTACTTTTAGAAAAGATCTAGCTACCTGATAGTGAACACTTTTGAAATGTTCAAAGAATGTTCACTATAGAGAAGTTATACTATGTTCTAAATAAGAATGATTTAGTTATTTAAATAAAATATCTTTAATTGTTATATGGAATATCGTTCGTACAACTATCAAGAAAATATATGTATTGGATTTTGTTGTCGAAATGAATATAATATAATGAATATTGTAAATGCGCTTCCTATTATTAGGAGTTTTATATGAACTTAGGCTTCCATGAAATCAAAAAAGAAAATATTCTCATGAAAACGAACTATTTACAGTTTTCAGTCAATTTCAAAAATAAATATAATAGTTTCTAAATTTAAAAATACATGTATAAGTTATCTTAAATAAGGAAAAATTTGTATATTTGCTTTTTGGTTTTCATTGTCAGACATAAATAATAGGATACATTCTTTACAGCATCTTAGTATGTAATGTCTGACATGATGAGTTTATATGTCAGCATATGCCACAATGAGATAAAATATCTGCACCGTCTTTTAAATAAGTCAATAAGGATTTTTATTTTGTGATAGAAGAGATCAACAAGTTTTTATCCATAAAATACAGTTGCATGATTGATAAAAACTATCTTTGTTTACTTAAGCACCAAAAAGTATTCTTCACCAATTTTTTAAAGCTAAATGCGGCGTTTTAAGTTACAGTAGTTGTGTTTTTCTTGCTTTTATTATGTACTGCAAATCGGTCAGATCAGGGTAACGAATGTGATTGAATAATGCTATTCGATCCCATGTGATTTCATCTTCTTTTTTTTCTCATGAACAATGAAAGTTCTATCTGATGAATTATTGAGTCAAGATAATCACAGGTACGATGACTAATAGGACTTATTATACTCTAATCGGTGACCTCTCTGATCAATAGACATACTTTTGTTTTTAACGATATTGTTGTCTGTTTTTAAGTAAAAGCATTTGTAATAATTTTACGAAAGTTTTAACAACGAAAAAGACACTGATTTTGTGGAGTGCTTTGTGCTTCAAGGGTGGTTAGATTTTTTCAATACTGTTGCGTCACAGCCGCTGAGTATTTGGATGAAATGTCATACTTCTCTGAAGGAATTTTTACGATTTCTACTTCAAATACATTTCAATATCATTTTTTTACAAGTGTTTATTTAGAGACAAGCAATTGGTAAATGGAAAGTCGTGATGGTTTTCTAATAAGCTTTAACAATCAGAGAATTTACTAGAGTATGAAAACATCTTCAATCACTTTTAGCAATCTGAATAAACTAAGTAAAGTTATCAAAGGCTTAAAATTCATAAATGGACAATGCATTAGAGAAATAGTATTATTACTTCTTGATATTTACCAGGGAACAGTTCTTGGTGTATGTTTGGTGCATAGCCAAGACTGAGAAGGAAACGTTTTCAACTGACCCATCGTTTCTTCACAAAAACCTAGTGCATTATAGGTTACCAACCATGATGATTCCGAATATAGTTACAAAACGTCTCCTTAGGTTTTCATATACTGGTTCTCTTGCTCTCTATAAGACAAAAATCTTTTCTGCTCTACACTGTGAGTTTTAAGTAAAATAGTACCATCTTGAAAATCTTCACAGTGAAATAATGATATGTATGTGACGCATGAATTAAAATAGCTGTACTTTTGGCAAAAAAAAGCCGATATGAAACAGAAAAAGTTACTGTTATCTAGGCGATTCGATGTGCTCTTTAATAAGGACAATTTTATTAAAAAATTTTTATCCAAAAATTTGTTAGACTGGAAAACTAGTTTTCTAGAAAATCAGCATCTAATGACCTAGGAGGAGTTTTCATGACCATATTCGGAATCAGCATGGTCGATAATCTGTTATCCACTGGTTTTCAGTGAGAAAGTGATTGATCAGTTGAAAATATTCTTTTGTTAGTGAGCTTTGCGAGCCTAAGTGAACTATGTTCACCATAGAAAGAGTTCATGATCATGACTTACTTCTGAGAAGATCGAATGCTTTTTGTGAATTGCGGTCGTATGATCCAGCATTTACAGTAAGATAATGATTTCAGATTTCGAACTGAAACTTTGTCGGTATGTACAGCTTAATTAGACTAGCTTGTATAAGAAAATTTGTAAGTTTTTCGAGCTAAGTCTCTTCGAGATAGGGAACAGAGATGCTGGTCGTTTCTTTTTTTTGACCCGACCCGTCAACCCGACCCGTTGGGGATCGAACCCGGCCCTCTTCACGGGTTGAATGATTTTTTTTCGATCCGTGCCAACCCGTGACGGGTTGGTAATTCTTCAACCCGTCACGGGCTGCCCGCGGGCTAACCCGCGGGTTAATGAAAACTTTATTCGTGTAATATTTATTGACAAATTCATTAGTTTTTCACTGACC